TCGACGCTAGCCTCGGTACTGTGGACGCGGTCCGCCGACTTAATGCACTTAGAGCATTTTATGTGGGGACACACACAATCGGCTGTATACAACCGATTTCTATAAAACCGGCTTCTATAAATTCGACCTAATTTCATAGTGTAGACATACCCTCAGATAAAAAAAATAATTAAACATGAAAATAAAATAATAAAATAAAGGCAGCCTACTTCAGCTGAGAATGTTTAAGGAGTTAATTAATGTTAACAAAATGGAAGGCAATTTTGATATACAGTGATGTGTTGATTTTTTTTCATCCCATTTCTGTAGGCTTTATATGTGGTTGTTTAAGCGGAGAACCAATCCTGAAGTCCTTACTTGGGCAAAACTCGCATTGACTTCAATGAGAATTTTGCACGAGTGAGGACAATCTGCCTTTTGTGATGAGTTCTGCATAAAGAGTGATGGTATGATAGTGCCAGGTATCTTTCTACCATAAGAGTAGGACAAAATAATTATTTTTTGAAAAAAAAAAAATCCATATAACCTTCAGCCTTTCACCATGTATTACATTTTCACCTGCTATTTCCATTAACCAACAGGCTTCTGTCAATTCCTGAGTAAGGCTGTGTTCCTGCAAGTAGCCGCACAGGGATGGGCCCCTGCAGCCAGAGAGCCCCAGTGGCCTCCATGTGGCTGTGCACCAGCAAGAGGATACACTCATGGAACTGCTTGTAGGGATGGGGTCTAAGCTTGGGAATTATTCACTTTAAAAATGTCCAAACTATTGTAATGACCAGACTAAGAGAGAGAGAAATAAAAAATCCATTATCCTAATTATGGCAGAGGAAATAGCCAACGGCTAACTTTAGTAGAGAGCTCAGGAAATGCTTATTAGGTTTTCTATTTAAAAAAAAAAGAAAAATACAGTACACAACATTGCTAATCATTATTAGCTGACAGACCACTGTAATGAAATTTGGTTGTGTTGGTTTTGTTTTTAGGACCCCTAATATTGACCGTCTGGCAAGGGAAGGAGTGAAACTTACTCAGCACATTGCTGCGGCTCCACTTTGCACCCCAAGCAGAGCTGCTTTCCTGACTGGCAGATACCCCATCAGATCAGGTTTGGACCCATTTCATGGTACAGTGCCCTCTTAGCAAGAGATCTTAGCTTTTAAACATTTAGGCCAAAGGGACCATTATGATCATCTAGTCTGACCTCCTGCACATTGCAGACCACAGAACCTTGCCCACCCGCTCCTGTAATAGACCCCTAACCTCTGGCTGAGTTACTGAAATCCTCAAATCATGATTTAAAGACTTCAAGTTACAGAGAATCCACCATTTACTCCAGTTTAAACCTGCAAATGACCTGTGCCTCATGTTGCAGAGGAAGGCGAAAACCCACCAGGGTCTCTGCTAATCTGATCCAGGAGAAAATTCCTTCCCAACCCCAAATATCAGTTAGACCCTGAGCATTTTGGCAAGACGCATCAGCCAAACACCTGAGACAGAATTTTCTATAGTAATTCAGAGCCATCCTCGTCTAGTATCCCATCACCAGCGGCTGGGTGATTTTGCTTATTTTATGTTATAATTATTGCAACATGGATCCATTCATCCCTGCCTCTGCACAGCACATAAAAGAGCACTGATCTAGCTATCATGAAAGGAGGCTAAGAGGTGCAAACAGATGGGAGCAGTAGTCATCATGTCCCCCACTGAATTGCCACCAGAAGCCTCTCCACATGGGCAATGCACTTTTGAAGGTCCATAGATATTTAACAGATGTGGCTGGCCCATATGAAAGTCAGTGGGGTAAAAAATAAACAGTCATTCCTGGCAGCAGCTTCCCCTCAAACTAGTATATTTTGTGGCACAAAAGATCATAGACTCATAGACTCATAGACTTTAAGGTCAGAGGGGACCATTATGATCATCTAGTCTGACCTCCCGCATGATGCAGGCCACAAAAGCTGACCCACCCACTCCTGGAATAATTCTCTCCCTTGACTCAGCTGTTGAAGTCCCCAAATCATGATTTAAAGACTTCAAATCGCTGAGAATCCTCCAGCCAGCGACCCCTGCCCCATGCTGCGGAGGAAGGCGAAAAACCTCCAGGGCCTCTGCCAATCTACCCTGGAGGAAAATTCCTTCCAGACCCCAAATATGGCGTTCAGCTGAACCCCGAGCATGCGGGCAAGATTCTCCAGCCAGACCCTCCGGAAAATGTTCTCTGTTCATGCAGCCTGACCCTCACAAACCCATTGATCCAGGCTATGGTCAGGGAAACTACTGAGGTCTGGGGTAAAGAGTCTTTCCAACCCACAGGCATGGAATAATGCTGCTCTGTAATAGTGATGCCAATAGTAATGTTTTGCTATAAAGTTACTAAATCTCAACAATTTATAGCACAGTGCTCAAATGGCAAAAGGTTTTTTAAACCCAGTTTACTTTAGTCCTAAATCCTAAACAGAAATACCTGTGATAATAATGTAATGGCAAGTAAGTGCATGTAGGCAACATACTCAGACTAGTTTCATTCCCTCTGGTCAAAAAACAGGAATGACAGACATGCAAGACAAATTTCAGTAACTTATAATTCTGTAACTGTTATAGTTCACCCTAACCACACAATAGTAATCAATTTGACAGAAGCATTATTTTCTCTCCTGATGATACAAGTTCCAGGGATGAAAGACAAATAGTTATGCAAGCTTCTAGATTGCATTTCCCTAGTCATTGCACTATAGCAAATTATTGCAGTGTGTATCCCAGGAAGTTTGAAATTAATATGCTGCCCCACTTCCACCCTTAACCTCCAATTGAGATCAGTGGGAATTGTGCACACATATCTACAGTCTAGTCTGTGTTCCTATATCTCAGTGCAGAACCCGTAAAGTCTGGATGATATTGTAATATATAATAGCCCTTATATTAGTGACCCATTTCAGTCTTCCAGAAACTTGACATTTGACTTATGTTTGATCATCCCCGTGCCCTATGTGTTTACAGCTTTCCTCTTTTTCGCTCCATCAAACATTCACTCAGATCCACAACTTTGGTTTCTAAAATCTGTAAAAAGAGGTTTTTTCTATGTTTTCCAAGTCCTGCTGCAAATAATGATTAAAAGGTAGAAGGAAAACATCACACACATCTGTGTGAGGTTCAAATGAGAAATTGGTAATATAAAAGCAAGAGATTTACATCTCCCCATTCTCACCCAGAGACTAATTTATTTTTACTGGGGCTTAACCAGACAGCATAGGCTAGATTCTTAGCTGGTGTAAATCAGCACCACACTATATGTCACAGCTAACCTGGTGGCTGAACTTTGTGACTTTGTCCTCACCCACAACTATTTCACATTTGGGGACAATATATACCTTCAAGTCAGCGGCACTGCTATGGGTACCCGCATGGCCCCACAATATGCCAACATTTTTATGGCTGACTTAGAACAACGCTTCCTTAGCTCTCGTCCCCTAACGCCCCTACTCTACTTGCGCTACCTTGATGACATCTTCATCATCTGGACCCCTGGAAAAGAAGCCCTTGAGGAATTTCACCATGATTTCAATAATTTCCATCCCACCATCAACCTCAGCCTAGATCAATCCACACAAGCGGTCCATTTCCTGGACACTACTGTGCTAATAAGCGATGGTCACATAAATACCACCCTATACCAGAAACCTACTGACCGCTACACTTACGTACATGCCTCCAGCTTCCATCCAGGACACACCACACGATCCATTGTCTACAGCCAAGCTCTAAGATATAACCGCATTTGCTCCAATCCCTCAGATAGAGACAAGCACCTACAAGATCTCTATCAAGCATTCTTAAAACTACAATACCCACCTGCTGAAGTGAAAAACCTTATTCTGAGAGCCAGACGAGTACCCAGTAGTTGCCTCCTACAAGACAGGCCCAACAAAGAAAATA